GTTAGATAGCAAATACGTGGTGAATAAATGAATCCACCGGTCTGCAGAACGTCTAAAAGAGGTCGCGTATTTGTAACCATTCTGGGGATTTAAAAGCATTACATCAAAGCTCCTAGCACCGACCTTAGTCCTTAATAGGTGCTTAATTAACACTGAAGTGAAGTGTCTTCCCAAAGTCCAGAGAAAGATACTAGTCAGGGCTTAGCTTTTATCTTTCCAGCCTACAGCTTCCTAGCTTACTCCAGTTGTTATGCATTCTTACAATATTGCGGATATGTATATAAATATTATTTTATAGTATTATTATACAACTGCTTAAAAAAAAAAAAACAAACCTCAGTATTATGTGTTTGAGATCTATCCAGGTTAATATATGTGGCTTTAGTTCATTCATTTTAAAGGCTAATTAGTATTCTATTATTACACTACAATTTTTTAAATAAGGGTATAATTGACATATGATATTAGTTTCAGGTGTATAACATCATGATTTGATATTTGTATACACTGTGAAATGATCACTACAATAAGTCTAATTTCTGTCACCACAGTTATAAAAATGTTTTTGTGATGAGAACTTTTAAGATCTATTCTCTTAGCAATTTTTGAATATGTAATTCAGCATTATTAACTATAGTCACCATACTGTCTGTCCATTACATACTCAGAACTTATTTATCTTATAACCAAAAGTTTGTACCTTTTGACTCTCTTCGCTCATTTCACCAATCTTCCACCGCTTGCCTCTGGCAACCACCAATCTGTTCATTATATCCATGAGCTTTTTTTTTTTTAGTTTAATTTTTAAAAATTCCACATATAAATGAGATTGTATGTCATTTGTCTTTGTCTGACTTATTTCACTTAACATAATGCCCTTGAGGTACACTCTTGTCACAAAGGGCAAGATTTCATTCTTTTTATGGCTGAATAATATTCCATTGTATGTATACACCACATTTTCTATATTCATCCATGCATCAATGAATATTTGCATATCTTGGCTACTATAAAGAATGTTTCAAAGGACATGGGGTACATATGTCTTTTTCTGTCAGTGCTTTTGTTTTCTTCAGATAAATACCCAGAACTGGAATTGCGGGATCATATGGTAGTTCTATTTTTACACTACAATTTATTTACCCATTTCTATATCAATGAACATTTAGGTTAGTTTTCTCCTTCTTTTCCTTTTAGTTTTTAAAATAGTACTGCAGGTGAGAAATTGTGCCATGGGCTTAAATGGATGATGTCATGTTTAAGATTAGATGAACTCTATTGACTTTTTCTCATAGACTTTGTATAAATGAAGTGCTAGACTTTACTTGAAAGCTATAAAAATTAATGGTTTAGATATATTTATAACAAACCAATTTAAACATCTTCTATAAGAAGAAAAATTAAGACCACTTATTTGAAAACAAAGACAAAGCTTCACTTTTTAATTTGCTTTCTCATTAGTTCCTTCCAAAATTCCTTCCTTAAAGCTGTGATTGACTTTTTTTCTCATAATGAATACTTTCAAGATATTGTATAAACCTATAGTAAGCAGCAAGGGAAAGAAAGACATTTTTAATTTAAAGAGCTTTTTATGATCAATATAAGCTTCCCTAGTTGAATATTGTTCCCTTCCTCCATTAAGTCAAAATACAAATCAACACAGGTATTAGGTTTCTAAAATTTTAAATGAAATATGACTTGCGAAAAGTATTTTGTATAAGAGTGTGTCTGTATTATGTATATGCGTCAGGTTCAAGTTAATGGCTTCAATTTATATTCTAAAGAAAAGCGAATAACAAAAATGACTGTCCTTAGTTATAACTATAATGAGATGAGTATTAGCATTGGTCTTCAGTGTCATTTGTCAGTTTGTACTTTTCTCTTTATGTTCTCTGACTTGTACTAACCAATGGCCCAAACCACTGATTTGCTCTTAAAAAAAAAAAAAAAGAAAAGAAAAAGGAGAAAGTTTGACATCTTTTGTTGATCATATGACATGTATGGAAACAAGTAAAGAAACTAAGTGGAATATTAATTATACAGTAAGAAATGATCAGATTAGTCTCTTAATTGGTCCTTATACCACATGAATTTCTGAATAAATTAACAATCAATTAACAAATTAATCATGAATCGTGATTACAACCATCGAGTGTTTTTTTCCAGCATTAATTGAAAATTGTTGTGTGAAACTTGTCTATCCAGAGAAGTACCATTGTATAAATCTTAACAAATAATTTAGTTAGAGTATTTTTAGATATTAAATTATATGCCAAGTATTTAAAGTGAATTTAAGATTAAAAGTAAGGCATATTGTCTAAGGAACAGTGATAATTTCTTAATTTGAAAATTTTTTATTTTTGTGAATTAGAATACTTTGGTATTTTTATTTCTATTATTTTTTTTTATATCTTCTTCCACCACATGAGTAGTTTGGCAATTAGAAAATACAACTGTCTTTTGAATTCTTTTAAGAATTTAGTTTAAAAATTGATTAATGTGATATATTATTTTTACTAAAAAATAACTTGGCCTATCATATCTCTTATGTTCATTAGGATGTATTTCATAATCTGAAAGTCGAAAGAATTTCTGAAATAATTATAACAGTTATTCTTGTAGTAACCATAAATATCAAAAAATATTCTTGGATACTCTACTTGTATATCTTTAATGCCCTGAAAATTTGAAGGATGACCTAAACTGGCATATTTTGGAATAGCCAAAGAAAAAAAACAACTACTTTAATACCAGCCTTTTAGATTTCATAACAATTTTGGTGAGGAATAAAGGTACATAATTTAAGTACAGAAAAAACTCTGAAAATGTCTTTCTATAAAATGCAAAATACACAATACTTCAATAGAGTCAGGCATGGAAAATCGATGTTTAACATTGGATATTTTGTGTTTATATTATAATACTGAAATTGCAACTATAGCATTTTAATATTTGCCAACATACTTTTATAAAAGTAAATCCTCAATTACTAAACTTTAAAAAAGTTAAGAAGTAAAGATTTTCTTAAACAAAAATTGAGGAAATTTGTTGCCAGTAGACCTCCTTACAAGAAATGTTAAAAGAAGTTCTTCAGAATCAAGGGATAAGGTATAAGTCAGAAATTCAAATCTCCATAGGGAAAGGAAGATTATTAGAGAAGAAATAAATGAAAGTAAAATAAATCTTTTATTTTCTTTTTCTTAATTGATCTAAAAGATAACCATTCAAAATAAAAATTATAACACTTTATTCAGTGATCATAGCTTATAGTAAGTGATTTCAATGATGCAATGTTATAAGAGACAGAAGGAAGGAATTAGGAAAACTCTGTTACAAGGTACTTGTATTACCAATGAAGCAATTTAGTGTTATTGAAAGTGGATTTGAATCAGTTGCAAATGTACCTGGTAAACTCTAGGGCAACCACTTAATAAGGTTAAAAAAAAAAATACAATTGATATACTAAGACGAAAGAGAAAAGTAAATTCTATAAGATACTCAATTAAAACCAGAGAAAGCAGAAAAAGAGGGAAAGACCAAAAAAAAAAAAATCAAGAGGAATGAAGTGAAACAGTAATGAATATAATAGATATAAATCTGTATCAATAATCACTTTAAACGTCAATAGTCTAAATACACTAATTAAAAGACAGAGAAGAAATTAATGGATAAAAAGAAAAAAGACCCCTTTCAGATTGTTCATTGTTAGTGTATAGAAACAACTGATTTTTGTATGTTGATTTTTGTATCCTGAAACTGCTGAATTCATTTATTAGTTCTAATAGTTTGGTGTGTGTGTGCATGCATGTATATGTGTGTAATCTTTAGGGTTTTCTACATATGAGATAATATCTTCTATAAACAGAAATAATTTCAGTTCAGTATCAAAAAGAATGAATTACTTAGGATAAGCTTACCCAAGAAGGCAAAATAATTATACACTGAAAACTATAAACTATTATTCAAAGAAATTAAAGAAGACATGAATAAATGGAAAGACATCCAACATTCGTAGACTGGAGGAATTAATATTGTTAAAAGTTACCATACTACTCAAAGTGATTCAACACAATCCTTATGAAAATCCAAATGGCATTATTATTTTTACAGAAATAGAACACATAATCAAAATTCACATGGAACCACAAAGGACTCCAAATAACCAAAACAATCTTGAAAAGAAGAGCAAAGCTAAAAGTATCATACTGATTGACTTTAAAACTTATTATAAAGCTTCAGTAATCAAAACAGTATGTTATAAAAACAGATATAAAGACCAATGGAACAGAATAGAGAGCCCAGAAATAAATTCATGCATATATGGTCAAATAATTTTTAACAAGGATGTCAATATTATACAATGGAGAAAAGGTAGTCTCTTTAACAAATGGTACTTGTAAAATAAATATCTATTTGCAAAAGAATGATTTTAGATGCTTATACCATAAACAAAAAACAATTCAAAATGGTTTAAGACTTAA